ATAATAACAGAATTACGCAGCATATTTACTTTTCAAAAACATACATAAATGATCCATATGATTTTATTCTAAAAGAGTGGTATCATTACATTTTATGAAGAAAAAAACAGAGAGGAATCTGGCATTGTTAAGTATTTTATTGTTTAGTTTAAGATTTCTTTATTTCTGATTTATTACTTTAAGTTGCTAGTGAAATTATTTGGCATCAATATAAAAATACAAATACAAAATCTTCTTTTTCAGAAGTGTCCGATTTCACTTCTTTAAATCAAATGTATGACATATTTTTGGTTTAACTTTTCAACATCAAAAACATGAAAGTGTGTATTTGACATTAGAAAATTGTGTTTTTTTTATCTTATGAAAACATCCGATTAAAAAATAAGATCACATTAAAGTTTGAGCACAAATTTTGAAAAAAAAACTGTGCGCGCTCCCGGCAAAAGTTATTGATCATTGCGCGTCACTTCCGGTCCTCGCTCCTTTCTCCGAACGTCTGTCGGCGGTGGAACCCGCGTGTTTACACTCTCACAGGTTAGTTCACGGCCCTGTGGCCTTTCCGCGTCTCATCACACAGGTTTGATTCCCACTGAGAGAAGGAAGAAGAGTCCCCGGTGTCACCGTGTGTGTGGAAGTGGGAGGAAAATTGCAATCACATCTGAACGTTAGCATACAATGCAAGAGGCCTGTGTTAGCTGGTTAGCATGCCTTGCTAGCTAGTTAGCCAGCCGGCAGTGAAGTGACATAATCTCACACACCCGGGATTTACAGCTACATTTCCCTGTTTTGGAAGTTGACAGTTCAACCATCAGCTTCTCATTATGAAACCATATGGGGACTTTATCAGCTCCTCTTCTTAGGAAACGCTGTGAGCTTAACTTAGCCACCAACTTTAGCTGAGCACTTCTGTCCGATTCATTTGAGGCTGAAAATGTGAGCAGCTATTTTTGGGAGCCCTGGCAGCTGTGCATACTCGTTAGATCGAAGTAAAACCTCCACCAGGAGGGTTTCTGGGGAATTTTTGACACTTCCATTTAATCACAAACCCTTATTTTCCCGCAACATGTCACTTTGCATATTGGACTATGAAATTTCCACCCTCATAATCACATGTTATCTTAAATTAGTGTGCATGTAGATCAGAGTCTGTGATAATAGAACAGGTGTTTTGTAAGTATTTTGACTAATTTCTATATTGTCAGAATTGTGATGTCATTTTAAGTCTGACCATTGGAACATGTTTTTCTGCCTAGTCCACTGATAATTATATTTTTATTTATAAATGCATTAATAAACGCATTTATTAAATTTGATCATGTGCTGTTACAGATGAAGGAGTCCATAATGAACCAGGAGAAACTCGCCAAACTGCAGGCGCAGGTCCGCATAGGCGGCAAGGTGAGTACATGCTGACAAATAACATAAAATAAATGAACCCCTCTGTTTATACACCCACACATTTATACACACTTATACAGACATCCACATAGATGACACTTATTCACACACATGCATATATATATATATATATATACACATCATTGCATACTTAAACATACACATGTGGCTGTCAAATAAAGAAAATAAAACGAGTAGAATTAGGGTTCATTTATTGAAGCTCTATGTTGTGCTCTAGGGGTCGGCCCGTAGAAAGAAGAAGGTGGTGCACAGAACAGCTACAGCAGACGACAAGAAACTGCAGTTCTCCCTCAAGAAACTAGGAGTCAACAACATCTCTGGCATTGAGGAGGTAAAGCCAATTCTTACAGAAGTGCACGGCAACAAGTAGGCACATTGGTGTTTTAGGGTCAGGTTACTCCACTTTAAAGGTCCAGTGTGTAAGATTTATGTGAAAGGGATCTATTGGCAGAAATTTAATGTAGAATAATTCACGTGATGTTTTCACTAGTTCGTTTCATCCAAATTGTATGAATTGAATTTTCTTTACCCCAGAAAAGGCCCTTTACATTTAAATACTGTATATTTACATTTGGGGGACCCTCTCTACGGAGGCCACCATGTTTTTCACAATAGTCCAGACTGGACAAACTAAACACCTTTTGAGTTTTTGTGACAATTAAAGGCTACCACAGTTTATTCTTCATGTGAGAGGGTGAGGTGAGGGTGTTCAGCTGCAACATGAAATTTCAACACTAGATATCACAAAATTCTAAACACTGTACCTTTAATGCAGCTTTAATAAATAAGATTATTGAAGTGGCCTATAACAGTAACAACAATCAAATTCTCATGAAGTGAGAATTTTAGATTCCAGTGCTAAAACTAATACATAAATAATAAAGACATGATAAAAAAAGTTTATAAGTAAAAGTATTTTCTTTGTTTACATATTGTATCATAATTGGAGATCAACTGTTGCATTGTCAACTTAAGCAAAAATAACAGAATTATGTGTTAAATCAATTACTTGTTGAAAATGATTCAGCCTGGTCAGAGCCTTACGTCTCCCTATGTGACACTGACCTCAAATTCCTCTATTTTTCTTCCCTTTTTTTCTTTCGATTAAACTCTTCTTGTATTTCATTATAGGTGAATATGTTCACAAACCAGGGGACGGTGATCCATTTCAATAACCCAAAGGTTCAGGCCTCCTTGGCTGCCAACACCTTCACAATCACAGGGCATGCTGAGAACAAGCAGCTCACAGAGATGCTCCCAGCAATCCTAAACCAGATGGGAGCTGACAGTCTCACCAGCCTCAGGAGATTAGCAGAGACCCTTCCCAAACCAGGTAAACTCTTTACTGACATGTAGACATGCATTAATACGTTTGCTTGATCTTTGTCAACAATCTGTAATTGAATGTCCCTTCATAGCTGGAGAAAACAAAGCCCCCATGGTTGCTGCTGAAGAGGAGGAGGATGATGAGGTTCCAGGTAAGCCAATTTATACTTACATGCATTAAATTACGACCCCATTATTAACAGTCAACATATAATAGGTACACCAAGGTTTTGTTTTTTATTTCTAATCACAGTGGTACATTTATGACCTTATTAAGTCTAATATGTCTTGTATGCATTATTAACAAGGGTTTATGATGTGTGTCCTTATATATTATAGTCATATTTTCAAGTTGTATCTAAATGCTAATGAATGATAGTCTCATTTAAACATGTCGTTATTGTTTGTTACTTATTTCTGACTTCCACAGTTCCTTACTCTTCTGTTTCGGCTTTCAGATCTTGTTGAAAACTTTGACGAGGCTTCGAAGAATGAGGCGAACTAACAAACACCGGTTCACACTTCAAGGCTCCTCTTGACCCATCACACTTTGACTAAGCAGCATTTTCACTTCTGTTATTTCCCTGTGGCTCCAAGCAAACGATGCGTTTAAATTGTAACATTGACAATTGGGATAAATCAAGTAAAATTGACTTTTTTATGGCAGCTGTTACTGACCATTATTCTGCATTAAAAGTGATATTTAAATTCAGTAGAATGTGCAAACCTTTTTCTTTCTCACACTGCCTCTCCGATGTTGTGATGCCCCACACATCAAAAATGTATTGTTGGAATAAATCATGTAATAAAGATTACATTAAATCCACCAGTTCTCCGCGACCATCAATGAAGAACATATTGACTTAGTTCTTGTCACTGTTTTCAGAGTCATATCCATGTTAACTTCATGAAAGGCCTGTGTTGTGTGGATATATTAAAAACTTGTCTGTGCCATGATACTAAAGGTTAACAAACACTAGACATTCCCCTCTTTATAGAAAAAATATCAATTTAGAAGGTTATTTCAAAATTAAGAGAAGAGCCATTACATCTGCCTTAACCGCAAAAACTAAGCTTTGGTATCTTTTTTATACACCTCCAATGATGAATGGTCAGCCAGAGTTAATTTGTCTGAAGTGTTTCACAAATCTTCTGGTTCAAGACCTTGTAGTTTCTATGTTAAAGGTTCCATGTGTAAGATTTAGGTGAAAGATCTATTGCCACAAATTGAATATAAAATCCTCATGCTGCTTTAACTGGTGTTTAATCAGTACTGTAAGAATTGTTGTTTTCTTTACCCTAGAATGGGCCCTTTGTATTTAAATGCTTAATATTTACATCAGGAGCGGGTCCTCTCTTCGGAGGGCGCCAAGTTTTTAACAGTAGCTCAGAATGTTCGTACATTAGAGAGTTATACATCAGAACTAAGTTATTGACCCCTCTTGATATCAGATAGTATCTGTTGCTTATCTCGTCAGTTATTTTATCATTTTAACTGCTTGATGTGGGTTTGATGTATGAAAGGGCTCAAAGGAGCCCAAAAGAAGTCTAACACAGTCAATGTGATTATCGATCATTTGAGATAGCTGGACATCTCACAGCTGAAATGATTATTAATAAAGTGAGCATTCACCCAGTCACTTCAGATACTGAGAGGTTATTCAAGTACATCTTGGTCTTCTCTGAAGCACACAAACAAATTATGCAATGAAGGAAAGTGGTATTGCTTTTGCTTTCTTCAGAAGTGTTATTTCTCTCTGAAACTGAAGTAGGCTTTCGGGTGGGAGGTGAAACGTTTTAAAGAACCTTGAGTGAGTCAAATTGATCTCATGTCAGAATTCACATTTATTTTCACAGACACAGATAAACTATTTAGGCTTTTAAGGAAATGAAACTACTTCTGTTCATGTGACCTTATTGGTTTCGCAGAATTTTTGATCAGAAATGTGATTACAATGTGCATGTCACACAAAGGGTGAATTCTTTTGAAAGTAAAGTATTGTGTATCTACTCAACAAACTGTTAAAGGACAAAGAAGCTTTACAACACCAAAGTGCAGCACAGTCTCCTGGAACATTGTTGAATATGGGACTACTTCACTCATGTGATGTATATGTGAGGAGAAAAACACTTTTTTCACAGGTTTTTTTCTGAGTGATGTAAAAGGACTAGTTTTAGCTCTTTCAAAGTAAACGTTTGGATAAACAAAACTAGATTACCCCACACATGTATGGGCCACACGTTCTTTGAGGGCGATGGCGCAGTCCAGGGAGAGCCGTCCTGGGAACCAGGGGGTCGCCAGTTTGAGTCCCCCGCTGGACCAAGCAAGCAAACTGGTAGCTGGTGAGCTGCCAGCTTGCCTCCAGAGCTGCCGAGGTGCACCTGAGCAAGGCACCGAACCCCCAACTGCTCTATGGGCGCCGTATAATGGCTGCCCTGCTCTCCCTCTGTAATGCATGTGTTGTGTGTGTGTGTGATCTGAGGGAGAGAAATGTAAATTTGAATTGTGTGTAACTTACTGTGCATGCAACAGGAAAATAAAACTAATCTTAATCTTAATCTTGACATGAGTAATGGGGAGGGGAAGTCCAATTCTCTGTCTTATCTCTTTTCTGTATGAAGGCGTGTCCATGTATGCATGGTCTTGAACTTTAGGACCACCGCATGTCATCTCCAAGAAAGCAGGATGGGGAAAACCTCTGAAGGAGTGAAAGAAAAAGATCTCAGTCAGTCTTTGCTTTTGACAGAATAATTCTGATTTATCTTTCAGATTTAAATCCAGGATTTATGGTCAGAAAAATCAGGGGAATATCATCAATATCAATATACCTACAGTCTGTGCAGACTTGTTTCAGTGTATTTAATATATGTCATATGCACAGTCTCTCTCCTGTAAGATTATTGTTCCTCTTAACCCATTAATCACCATATAGAATGAGAAAGAGTAATAAATGTCCCATGCAGATTTCCATAGTCCAGAGTTACTTATTTAAATTGCTTGTTCTTTTGTGACCAACAATCTAAAACTAAACAACAAATATTCACATTCACATTTTAGAATTTAACTTTAAAAATGACTGAATCACTTGAAACCAACGATAACCGTTCAATCATTTCAGCTAGTCTATGAGAAAAATATAAAAGAATGATGTAACAATAAATAAAGATTATTGGATGAGGGTGATCAATAATGAATTTTTCAAATTTATGTGTCTGTTCATAAAGATATGACTCCTTTATTCTTTTGATTTGAGATCAAATTAACATTTATGATACTAATCAGATTTGCGTCAAAAATGAACAAATCTTCTAAGATAGAAGATCAAATGTATGAATGTGTTTGTG